GGGCTGGTTTTGTTGCTGTAGCGGTGCCTGTAGAAAGTCAGATCAGTCCCGTGAGTGCTGATATGAATCCTACGTTTAATTCTTCTACTGCCGCTGTACCAGTGGATACCAAGGTCACTGCCATGGTTGCTGATATCGCTGATATGGCTGATTCTGTTGCTGTAGCGGTGCCTGTAGAAAGTCAGATCAGTCACGTGAGTGCTGATATGAATCCTACGTTTAATTCTTCTACTGCCGCTGTACCAGTGGATACCAAGGTCACTGCCATGGTTGCTGATATCGCTGATATGGCTGATTCTGTTGCTGTAGCGGTGCCTGTAGAAAGTCAGATCAGTCCCGTGAGTGCTGATATGAATTCTGCGGATAGTCCTGCTACTACCACTGTACCAGTAGATACTGAGGTCACTGCTGTGGTTGCTGATATCGCTGATATGGCTGATTCTGTTGCTGTAGCGGTGCCTGTAGAAAGTCAGATCAGTCCCGTGAGTGCTGATATGAATCCTACGGCTAAGTCTTCTACTGCCGCTGTACCAGTAGATACTGAGGTCACTGCCGGGGTTGCTGATATAGCTGCTATGGCCGATACTGGTGCTGTAGCGGTGCCTGTAGAAAGTGAGACCAACCCCGCGCGTACTGATATGAATCCTACAGCTAATTCTGCCACTGCCGCTCTACCTGTAGATACTGAGGTCATTGCCGTGGCTGCTGATATCGTTACTGTGGCTGATTCTGCTGTCATCGCTGTTTCTATTGACACTAAGGATATCTCCGTGGTCGCTGATATGAACACTGTCCCTGTCCCAGGCATCGGGGTCACGGCCATGGGTGCTGATATGATCGCTGCGTCTAATACTACTGCTGTCACTGCACCTGTAGACACTCAGATCACTATCGTGGGTACTGATATGATTGCTATGACCGATACGTTCGGTGCTAATGGTGTCGCAAAAGGAGGTACTAGCGTCGATCCTGTGGAAGCTGTTCTTGTCTCTGGTACATCGGTCGGTATGATATCGAGCGACTTTGTTACAACTACTACTGGTTCTGGCCTTCCCACTCTGCGCGGTGGTACGTATGATGCAGCTGCCACAGTCGAAACTGCTGTTAGCGCTGTAGCCGTTGGTACTGAGAGCTCCGCTGAGCTTTCTGGCACGGATAATATTATGGGTAGTGCTGTCGGCACTGATAAGGCTGATTCTGCTCTTTCTATTGACGCCGATACCGCCGGCGGCTCTGTTAAAGCCTCCGTTGTCGATGTGAAGGTCCTTAAGAACGATACTGCTGTGTCTGCTGGAATTGGTGTTACGGGCGATACCGCTTTGGTTGCACATACGGATGAGAATGATACTACCGGTATGGCCTACAGTGCGAAAGGGACTGCTGATACTCTGATCGATTCTGTGGCTGCCGAGCAACATGCCTGTCCTTGCACTGCTGAGTATACTCATCCTGTGGACACAGTTTCATCTGTTAGTACCGCTAACGCAACTGCCAGTGGTGTCAAGGCAGGGACTATAGGGACTAATAATGCCATTGCTGAGGATGTTGCTGTTGAAGCTGTTTCTATCGCTGACACTACTACTATCGCTAGTACTGTCGACACTGTGCATATTGTAGCAGCCGCCTACATTTATAGCACTGCTGACGATGCTGACGCAGATGGTCTCATCAATTCTGTGGCTATCGGCAAGACGGTTGAGCCCAGCACAGTTATCGTGGACGCTGCTGCCATTGGTGTTCCCGCAAACCCTGTTGTCGTGGCTGGGACGGTCGACACAGTTCATACCGCTCTGGTTGCTGATACTGGCAGTGCCACTGCAGTTGTCAACGATGGGGATGTCATAAATTCTGTAGTAACTGCGGAAACTGAGGTAAAAACTATCAGTGAACTTGTCGTGGATTGCACCGATGACAGCAACATCGACACCGGGATGCTTCACTCTGTTCGTACTGTACGGGCTGCTGTTTGTGGTAGCCCTGTTGACTCTGTTGAGGCTAATGCTCTTGCCAATACCGTTGTTGCTACCAGGACCAATAAGGATAGCAAAGCCAATGAAACAGCTGCTATTGATAGGGCCGATGACGCCATGGTCGAGGCCGGGATTATAGATGCTGTTCAGGTCACTGCGGCTGCCGATACGGGCACTACTGCTGAAGTCGATGACGTTGGGGATATTATTGATACTGATGTAAATGCGAAGATGGACGGAATTAGCGGTGCCGATACATCTGCTGGAATTGATGGTACTATACATACTATCATTATTGATGGTACCGCCGACACTGTTGTCAAAGCCGAAGCCATCAGTACGTTGGCTGTCAATGACACTACTGCTGATGCCGCGGGAAATCGTATTGCAGCTGCCACTGCTGGTAATAGTGTAAGCGATGTCACCACCAATGGCACTGCTATCATTAGCATCGTGAAAACAATTGACATCGCTCTTACTGCCGACAGCAATAGTATCGGTGTTGTTGCTGGCACCAATGAGATTACCGACGCCGTTGTCAATGCTTCACACGATGAGACCATCGATACAGGAGTTTCCGCTGTCCATGGTAAGCCCGCCAACACTGCTACCATGGTTGATTATGATACCAATGCAGTCTCTTCTGGTAGTGTGAGTGGAAGCGCTGGCAATGACGATGCAAATGTCTCCGTGAACATCTCTCAGACCGTGTCCACTACTACCGCTGCTCGTACTGGGGACAATGCTGCCACGATCGATATTGTCAACATTAACTTGACAAAGAGTACCATAAGTGCCGAACCGGTCGCTGATATCACCCCCAGTATTGTGGCCAAAACTATCACTTCATCTACCACGGATGGCACTCTTACATCGGATACCGCCGACACTATCCCTCCCTCCGCACTTGTGGAAACCAATGCCACTGATGATATGTCGGACACCCCTGGCACGGTTAACACTATCATAAGTGCTCAAGGTGGTACGACTGTTGCTATCTCTGCCACTGCCGATTCGGAGACTGTCGCTACCGCTGATTCTGTTGAAACTACGGACATCACTGGTACGGTTGACACGGTCATCGACGCTCGTGCTAATGAGACTGTCGCTATCGCTACCAATGCCAAAACAGAGGCAGTAGCTATCGATGCCAACGCCGAATCAGAGAGTGTCGGCGTCAACTCTGACATTGACTGTGCCCGTGCTGTTGACACTGCTGATATCACTGCTACTAGCGACTCAGAGATTGGTATTATCGCTGCTACTGCCAATCCCGAGAGTGTCGGTATCGACTCTGACATTCTCATCATCGATGACAGTACTGACGCTGACAATACTGATATTGCTGCTGACACTGGTGGTCTAGTCATAACTGCTGACACTGCAACCACTGCATTACCAGGGACCGAAGAGACAGAACAGACTGAGGCTTTGGGGCGTGATGGTGCAGAAGCGCATGGAAACAAAGACGAAAGTGCTGAAGAAGAAACCGAAGGGTCAGCCGAGCGAGACAATATTCGAGAAGCTGAGAGGGGTGCAAAACAGACAATGGATGCAAAGGTTGCATCTAACGTCAGCATTGAGGTCGCTCATGAGTGTGCCGCCGATTCTGGACCTATGGTCGCAACTGCTACCAGCAATCAGGACTACCGTAATGCTGAAGATAGCTCGTTGATGGTTGCTGACCCTATCACAGACTCAGGTCAAGCTGCTCTGCAGGGTAACAAACATTCGGCTACCGCAGACATTAACACGTCGGGGATTACGTCACGAACTGATGCCTACAGTTCTGACAAGCGAATTTGTACGAGTATCGACACCGACACAGAATCGGCCGCTGTAGTAACACGTACGTATGCGCAGTTTGCGTCCATACGAAGCGAATTGGAGCATGTGCGCCAGCAGGCGACTCTGGCGGCTCAAGAGCGAAATCAACTACGTTTGTTGGTTGGAACACTTGCACATGAGCTGGAGGCGCTACGAGAGGCGGTACATGGGGATGTACGGATGTATGGAAAACTGAACAAGGGTATATTAGGTGCGAATATGAACTCTGTAGCGGCACAGGAGGCATCTGATGGTAATACAGAGACACAACCGGGAGTGGGAAGGTTTGAGGATAGACTGGTTTCAACGGACCGCATCCCTACTTGTGCTGAGAGTATCATTGACAAGCCGGAGAGTAATACGTTCCAACCCAAGCGAGTCACAGGCAATCGCAAGAGGAAAGCCACACTCAGCACAGAACCAGCCACCAAGCGAAGGAGTGTCAGCAATGACACGCATATGGGTTCGGAATCTTGCGCAGTGTCATATAAGAGGGGTAGCGAACTACAGCCACAGATACCGCCACCCACTAGGACTAGCGGCCAGATTACCCAATGCGGTTTGGGTGCGATACAAGTACATATGGAGGGGCATACACACGTCATGGCGGAGGACACAGGTGAACATAACAAGACGACTGCGGATACCGCGAATACTCTTATGACTGTGAAGATGCGGAAGCGTCTGGCACGCGGTGGGGCATGTAAGCGACTGCCTGGAGTAGTTTACGACGGAGATGAGGTCGAGGACACCGAGACAGCATCTACCGCAAGAAAAGATAGACAGGTGCACAGAAGAGAGGAAAAAGGGCACCGAAGCGGTAAGCACACACACAACCCATCTGCGCGAAAGAGTGGACATAGTGCGAAAGTGAAGAGATCGAGAAGAGGCAACTCTAGTACAAAAGCTGTGCAGCGGAGTATGCAGACGCGGAAACGTGACGCTTCAAACGAATCTGATGAGGAGGAAGGGGAAAGCATGGTCGATGTTGCTGATATGGACAGCATCCCAGCTGAGCCACAAAGTTCTTCGCGGCAGAAGAAGAACTCGCGTAGTAGGGGTGGATCTGGAGCCAAAAAAGGCCGCAAGGGCAAAGGGAGTGCTCACGAGTTAGTACCGGAGAGACAAGGCTTGCCCAAAACATTGCAGACTACACTTTCCAGAGGTGAGGTAATAGATGACTCTGAATCTGGTGACGAAAGTAGGTCCCAGGAAGTGCCACTGGCCGCCAGGCGCAAGAAAACAATTGTGCATTTCGGGTGGCCCGATGTACCGGCGTACGAGGCGTTGAAATCGAAGGGACGTACTGTCAGAGGAGTGTCTCGTAATCCAAGTGAAAGTGTCGGTGCAAACGGGGGTGGTAGGGAATCACGTGCGGGCGAAGAAGCCAGATGGCACAGCTTCGAGGGGAAAGAGGGGCGACGCACCGCTGATACAGTGCGAGATGCGCCGACGCATTACCACGGGAGGGCTCCGAGTGTGGTGGAGAAAATGTTGCTCAAAGAGACGGTGACCACAGAGAGCAATAGCACTGAAGCGGGCAGTGCTGGGACTGAGGTTGGAGACATGAGCGAGGTCGAACGGTCTGATATGGAACTTTCAATTGGGCGAGGCACGGGAAAAACTACTTCGACACGTGTGCGTGCTAGTCGGCGACTACGGGGAGATGGAGACGAAGATATGACTCATAACAAGAATTTTGCATTCAGAACCCCGCCGAAAGTAAGCAAACGGAAACATAGTAAGAACGATCACGGCACGCGTGGCAATACCAGGAATACGCACTCTGCAGACAGGGGTGCGAGAAGCAAAATATCATTTACAAACGACCTGAGCAGTGAAGGTGACACGAATGTAAAGGCTGCTTACGCCAACCGCGAGAATGTATGCCCGGCAAGCGGTACGTGAGCGTCTCGGTACTGTCTCGTGTGCTGTATTAATTTCTCCATTCACTTGAAATTTAGCATTATAACTCTATTTTATTACTGTGCTTAGATTCAGCATACTGTGTTTACTTGTGCTTGCATGTATATGCATATATACTGACTGTGTGTGTGTGTGTGTGTGTGTTTGTGTATTTGTATGTGTATGTGTATGTGTATTTGTATGTGTATGTGAATGTGAATATTGTGTATGTATGAATGTATGAATGTATGTATGTATATATATATATAGTATATATATAGTATATATATATATATATATATATATATATATATATATATATACATAAATGTGTGAGTGTGTGTACAAGATAAATTTTTGTATGCTTGTATGTATATATGTATATATGCTTGTATGTATGTATGTATGTGTGTGTGTGTATGTGTATATGTACGTATGTATGTATGTATGTTTTGTCTTTATGTATGTCTTTATGTATTGTGTGTACGTATTTATGTATGTTTGTTTCTTTGCACGTATGTATGTATGTATGTTTGTTTCTTTGCACGTATGTATGTATGTATGTTTGTTTCTTTGCACGTATGTATGTATGCATGTTTGTTTCTTTGCACGTATGTATGTATATATGTATAGCATGTTGTTTTCATTAAGTACCATCTTTATTGCTATTATGGTTAAACCGCTACACCTTTTGAGTCACCGTAAGGTTTTAATAGTCTTCTGCCTTCATGGGTGTGCTGATGTGAGATTTTATCGAGGTGCTGTCATATGCTTTCACGCTTCACGCAAAGGAACTATGCTCTCAGAGTAGTACACGCCTATAAGTCATCCCTAATGCAGCTGTCTGGATACGGGTCCGCCACTTATACCTGCAGATCGAAAGAAAAGGAAGATCAGTAAGGTAAACACTCTGCTGGAGAGAGATTCGGCGCCACGGGTATTGAAGTCGGTGGGCCAGCGCTTCAACGTGTGAATTCTCGATCTTTTCGGAGCAAGAACCCAAATATATAAGCTTAACAATACAGCCGTATAAACCAAGGCTGTTCGGTCCGTACTTATGTGTTTGCATGAAAATATAGACCCTCGTGAGCTGGTGTAGTACAGGGCTGTTCGCTGACGAAACGGCAAGCATAGGACAGGTTCAGCTATTGTCGAGCTCTTGTAGTAGAGGGAACGCCGAATGCCGGAAAGCACACAATGAATAAAAATTGACTATTTCCTACATTGGACAGCATTGAATCGTGGGCTGCTTTGCGACCGGGGTAGTGCACAACTCATCCTTTTATTAGATCGCTGGGTACATGCGCAACCCAATCGGGACAAGCTTCAAGCATGACTCGTCGTTAACTTAGTTTTAATAGAAACTCAACCAGGTTTTTCTTTCACCTGCCTGGATACCTTATTGGTTTGGATACGCAAAATAGGGAACCTTGCAATTACACACGTTATAGTGGATACCTTATTGGTTTGGATACGCAAAATAGGGAACCTTGCAATTACACACGTTATAGTATATATTTAGTGTACAAACCTAAATGAAGCTTAGTTTTTCAGAGTATGAAGTTTAGTTCTCCAGAGTACAAAGTTATCGGTTTTGTAGAAAATGGGCTATGTTCTCGAAGTCTATTTTAATTTCGTACTATGCTAGGCTTATCAGATGATTCAGCCTCCGGCTCCACTCGAATCAAATGAACACGCCTTTCTCTTTTTGGCGACAAGAGGATCGTTGGGAAGCTGATCTCTGCCTCACAGCTCTTGGTGACTACAAATAGGACATCAACCACATCCTCAATTACTGCGAGCTGCTCAACCCCTTCATGTCGCAGGCGCCAAGCCAAATCCCTATAACCGGATCGCGAAGCTGATAGCACAGGAGAAGCCCTTGTTTCCGATCGCGCGACCTGAAATCACTTAATCCGATATCTATCCGATGATCTTCACGAGAATCTCAACAAGGAAACCATAATGGAAGATCCCTGGACCCTTTACGACAGCATCCGCCAATCCTACTTCCACAAGTCCATTCGAATCTCCTAGCCGATCACAATGGCATACCTCCATAATTTACAAGTTGGCCTTGAAGAAGATTCCTATGCATGGACAATTCGCTGAACGAAACTCGGCCTCGATGCTGAGCTTCAGGGACTAACATTCACCAGCAAACAGTTACTGAAACTGAAAGACCTGTCTCATGAAGATCAAGAACAAGCCCATCCATATATGATGGACAAGGACCTCCGTGCGACCCTCACCCCCATTAGTCTATGTGATCTACTAGATGAGTGGTACACCACTGACCCTGAGCACCTCACGCCAATTCAACACGTGTCACGTGCACAAGCTCGTCGTGTGACAAAAGTTCACTCATCTGTTTTGTCTCCCGCAAAGCAAACCATCGCTCTCCCCAAGTCCCATCGCATGTGGACGCTGTGGCACCAAATATCATACCAACGGCAATTGCAACGCAGGCTCTCTTCAGTGCTCCACCTGTAACCGTATGGGAAATATTAATTCAGTCGGCTGCGGACGTCGTGCTATTAAAAACAACATCTGTTTTACTTTTGTAGCACGAAACACCGTTGATCATACTTAGTTCACAACAACGGTTAAAATGGTAATAGACGGTGGTGTCAAGGTTAATTACCTCAACACCACCTCTCAGAACTTATTGATCTGTATCTAACGTTGGTTCTTTCCGCTCATACTTGCTGATGACTCTGAACGCAATATCAAAATACATGGTACACTACCTGGGCCATGAACTTTATAACTTAGACCTCCTGCTCAAGCAACCCCTCATATCACCAAACCGACTCCAATATCACTGTTTGAACTTAGAGTACCATGCCTCATATGGTACACTCCAGATCCTCTCTCCTGCACATCGTGACACTTTGAAGTCCACCAATCTCCATCCACCTGGCCCAACTATGTCCCCTCCTGTAGCTATTGCTTTGGTCACGGAGATACACTCTGCACAACCCATCAATTATCCAATTTCGGCAGTCATCACTTCGACTTCTCCTCCTGTCACTAATCAAACTTATGATGAATACCACAGGAACAACGGTCATCGCATCAGGAAACCACACTCCGCTTGGCAGCCAAAGAAAATGTTACGCTGACCCATCCACCAGCATTTGGAGTCACTTGCGAAGAACGGATGCTTTACCGTACCAATTAGAAAAAAGCCAAAGCCATGATCTTCTCCGAATATATCCCGACGATTGATGTCTGTGCATCCACGAACAACCCATGTTCGCCGGACATGAGGGCGGATTTGTAAACTGCTATTCTAAAGTTGACTATATAAAAGAAGCCGTCTACGGAAACCCGCTGGTCTGATATACATGTCCTCTTGGAGCTCAACGTAAGCTTGACGCCATAACTGCCATATGTGTCCCCCTTCAACCGGTGCAATTTCGCGTATACAATGTGGAGTTTATATCATTCTCAACCGGCAACTACGTTTCTACGCCATGGCCAAGACGCTGTCGGCAAACCTACTTGGGCGTCACGCTTGTAGCTCTATCAGGACCTCTTCGCTCAGCAGTATCTCCCAGCGAAAATCTCCAGATAGCCATCATATACGCCCGTGCTCACCTCGAATGAATGCACAGTGAACCGCAAAATAGTCAAGATGTCATCTTTTATTCAGTCTAAGAACAATTTTATTTTCACTTGCAGGGGTCAATGGCAAAATGTCGCTACGAAAATTGTTACTTTGTGAACATGGTAGACAACGGTACCTGCTACGGCTTGCACGCTGCCATGAACGACAAAGCAAAGCAGACATCACCAGTGAGCTTCTTCCCTTTTCGTGCAAACACCAGCACACTATCGCCATCATACTATGATTGCAGATGTTCAGAGTGAAAATACACGCGATATGCATTTCACTCGCCAAATGTCTCTCCGCAAACCCCTGCTCATACAACTCAGTTGAATAGCAAGATTAAAGGCCCCCCACCGTACTTTAAACTCGAAAACTCGAACATTGTATCGGTGTTATTTACAAGCAACACAGGTATACATGTGCCTCCCCGCTCACACCTATGTCTGCATCATTCGGAACAAAGATTTAGCTGCTACCGGGCAACTACACTCTCCTATCAACAAATGGACAGGTAACGCAGTTCCTCGCTTCCCTGACGCACGATATGGCTATGTCATTATATTTAAATCAACTGGCACCAAGGCTAAGACAGCACACACATTCGACACAATGATCGGCTTCGGAATTTCCTTCGCCGTGAATCACACTGCACGCCCGACACGTGGAAGATTAAGAACTTTGCCACACAGCGGCAACTGTGCTCTCGTGATGTGAAGCTCTTCATCGACGCAAAACAATGGTCACCCAACGGTGAACGCTGTACACGCAGCAAGAACCCTACTGGCTATGAAATCCCTGTTAAATGGTACGCACTGGACTCCCTTACCACTGCCTCCGTTCCACATATTCCGCATACACTGCATTCCTATCGCCACTACAATATGCCGGCGGGTGGGTCTTTCGTGTATAGCAGATCTTGAGGTAGGTGGTCTATTACTATTGGCAGTCGGGTGTAGTGCATGAACATTTTCGTTGGTGTACGAATTGTTATTGGGCTCTTCTGCGGCGTATTGAGCGCATAGATTATTTGATGGTCTACTATCCGATAAAGGCAATTGCTGCGTACAGACGTATACCGGTGTACCCTGAGAGCTCACCTTCAATGTTTGGTGTCCCCGTAGTAATGAAATGGCAAAGCAGTTGGGCTCGTCACGGAAGATTACCTGGTCACGTGTGTGTGCGGATACCAAGCTCTTCGCAAATCGTAAAGGGAAAGTGGAGCATATGATATTCTTAAAAGGGTTTACTGATCCATCGGTGAGCAAACCATTGTGTCGTATTTATGATCACAAGTTGATTACTTTGGACCCTGAGAGTTACATGATCGTCTGCGTACGTTCGTTACTAGTGCATATACGGAATTGACGCTGGGGAGTTTGACGAAAATAACATTGCATCATACGCCTTCAAGGCAGCCAAGTGTATGGATCTCAAACCCTATCAACCGGTATCTGCGAATGGGTATAAGGGTGCGCATACGTTACAAGCGAACAACTTGAACCCTGAAGTGACAAACTTGAAGGGGTCCTAATAACCGATATCGGGCTCACCAACCCGCAGATAGGGAGAACTCCTGTGCACATGCCAACTATACGGCGGCTACAACCCGTTATACTACTCTCCCGATAGGGGCGAGATCTTCGCATGACCACTCGCGGGGTCGCTCATATACGCCAAATAGGTCATATGAGCCTCGTTCGCCTACCGCACCTCAATGTGTCACATGCAAATTAAGGCATAAGCCCTATAAGCCCAAAGTATCATGCATGTAACCAAATAGGGCACTGGCGTCCGGGTTGTCCTCGGCAGGCGAATGCAGTCGCGAAGGCAAAGACCCTGACTTGAGGCCACGTGGACGGGACCGGTGACCCATACTGTTTGCGAGGATTTGAATGTGTCAATCTATAACGACACAGGGGCGCGCCCAGTTATGATGGCTTGGCATTTCGCGGATCGTTGCCATTTTCTGATTGCGGCAATTGAACCTAATTATATTTCAGGTTTTGGGGGTGATGGGATCATGTCTCTTTCTTGTAGCACTGAGTGTACTTTGCTGCTGGAAGTGGTGGATGCCAAAGGTAGGGATACATATCATGAGACCGCAAAGATCACATTCCCTCTGGCTCCGTGGATTTTATTGTCTTGTGTCATCCTGTTGGGGCTCGACCAGATGAAGAAGGAGCTTTTATGCGAAATCGGTCGTTCTCTAGTGTGAATGGTGCTATGAGCACTAGCCGCATACGTTACAGATCCATTACTAATCAATATACTTCTTTCATCCAGCACATTTTCACCAGCTATAGTTGTATGTGGAAGTAACTGCTCTCAGCTTTTATGCGAAATCGGTCGTTCTCTAGTGTGAATGGTGCTATGAGCACTAGCCGCATACGTTACAGATCCATTCCTAATCAATATACTTTTTTCATCCAGCACATTTTCACCAGCTATAGTTGTATGTGGAAGTAACTGCTCTCGCAGAATTCGATAACTCGATACGCCATAAGTCCGTAATGACGAAGACACGTAGTGAAAGCACGTAACGACAACCCATCTTGCGCCGCCAAGACAAAATTAAAACCAAGCTCATCAGACGATACCAAAATTTCAAGAATCATGTTAGCGCGTTCTGGTTGTTAGATATGGCCTTTCTTGTTACCAAACGGATTCTCGACCCAAATGCATTAAGCACAAGTGGCAGTGATGGCTGCAAAGAGTGCACGCGATATATTCCATCCGCGTTTTGAATAAGTGCCAGCAATCTATATGCTAAAAGTTGACTGTAACTACTATGATGTTTCCACATTACTTTTAACACTGTTTGTGTCGAATATTTGTGTAAGCTGCAAATGTTCTATCTCAGCCAGAGCTATGTCTAAATCCTCGATGCGTGGTAAAATCTTACCACTGACCTGTTCAACAACCGAAAGTCTACATGTGAATAATGGGTTATCAGTCGAAGGATAATAACTGATAACATATTCTATTGACGTAGAGGCACGAACTGAGTGCATATCAGTACGAGGGGCCACATCTTGCAAATCCATCAGGGTGTCGGCCTTGATAATTGCCCCATATGTATATTGTTCAAGGACAGAGAGCGTTTGTCCATCAAACTCCAATTGTTCAGCAGGGTTGACCAAAATTTTAACTCCCATACCAGGAGGCTCAAATCGGTGGACATTACTAAACAGTCACTAATACAGTCTTTGAAAGAGGACAAACGATCCACACTATCATCATCGACTGGTACACGATCACACATAACATACTTAAAATCTAATTAACGAGGTGAAGGAACACTCACTTGACCTCACTCGGATATGGCGCTCGTTTTGCAGAGGGCAATTTCCAAGGGCATTCCGAAGAAACATGCATAGACCCATCCTTACTAGAAACTTGAGCAGGGGGCTCATCGTCGTCAACCTCCGAAACGCGAGCTTTGTAGACATTATCTTCCAAGACACTCTCCGCATCGCTAGCAGACAAGACTTCCGTCGAATTACGTAGCCCCGGCACCGACACAAAACACGACATTGTACGATACTCACGTAGATATATGTTCGCATGCAGGCCTGAACGATCTAGCTCAGACCAGAAAATGACTGAGGTGACTTAACGAACATCTTGTTTGCAACCCTTGATGTGAATTCAAAGTGTATGCGACCAAAGAGGGTAACCAACAGCAGTATCACCATGCAACAATAAAGTATCAAATGAATGTAGAACCACAAGTGGACATGCTTGAAATAGCGGCACTAGCTCCCGCGTCCACTGAGTATCCGGCCGATATGGAACACAGAACACCACAGACGCATACTGGTTATTTGCCACATGATGGATAAACTGTATTAAACCAAGCTATTCAGGTTTCGCATAAGCAACTGATCCTGTCAGAACAGCCGTAGAAGTATCACATCCATAAGTACCACCACCTACTTCATCACGTATACGTACAAAATGTGACTAGCTTAAGTGGCGAAAAGCTCAGTATCTAATATGACATGAAAGAGCTCTGGCGATACCAAACCCAATTTGTGTATTCAATTAACTTAACAATCAGACCGTAGTCAAGACATGTGCCCCTACCTATTCCAGTGGATCAGGCCATGTGACACGTTTCTATGCGGTAAGCTTGATCGGATCCATCCTGTCAGCACACCGCGTGAAATAATCGCCAAAAAATGTATATCGGCCCCGGGCAATAGCGAAAAGCATTTTCCACTTCACGCAGACTTTAAATAGATCGCAACCAGCGCCGAGTCTGAGCCATATCCTGCTCCGTATAATTAGAGGGATTTGCGACGACTCTTAACAAAGGTTCGACAACGAATTCTCGATCCGTCGTTCCATAGATACGTTGAGCCGCAATAGATATACTAGACATCAACTGCACTGCGATAGAATAGACAATCAACTTCATGTACTTTTTTTACCGGCACCAAGTGCTTCCCGTATGACCATACCAACAAAACATTGAGTACCGTCCTGACGTCTAATCTTGATAACCTCTTCCACATGCGTCTCAGTAATTTGTTGTCACCGGTTGGTACCTCAAAGACGGGGTACCGGCAGAAACCGCATCTGTAGGCTTGATAGGAATCTCCCGAGTGTTGTAATAACATAACTTTAAGACACATAATCAGGTGCGGTTCATCAAACCGCTCTACCGATTTAGTCACCAGCGCAAGAGCTTTTACCTCGCTATCAGAGAGTTCCCGAATCACATGCCGTACAATATTCCCAAAAATGCGCACAAACAAAGGCGCATCCGAATACAATACCAAGTGTTGCTTCGGGGTAGGAACACACAAACGAGAATTTTTCGAGTAAGAATATGCGGTATCGAGTGCTTTAATTTGCTCCGTGCTCCAGCGGAAAACCTCATGCTTCCGTAAGCCCAATAATAGATTTAATAATGATATAATATCGGGGAATCATTACACTCCGCCACGATAACATCTTGGGCAGCGAAGCAACCCCGGCTTAGATACAGGTGCATGAGCATTAGTAAACTCCTTTAAATGATCATTATCAATCATTGACCCATGGTTCGACACATCCCGGACAAACACATGTCGGACTTCAGATGGTAGGACTACGATTTGCGATTTGTGTGACTGGATCTTGCAAATATTAAATGTGAGGATTTAACACAGTGACTGCGCGTAAAAATATATATATCAGAACACCCAGGAATCTTGTATAATATTTATATCATCCCTATACACCATGAGTATCCACACTGCTTGAAAGGACCATCTAATTGAGATGTTGCATGCACATTTTCTAAGAGACACTTCGTAGCTGGTGATACCTCATATCCGAGGAATAGAATGCTAGGTATCCCCTCGAATCCTCAAACAACTTCAGTTGGTGTTGTATGGCAGCCAAATCGATCGCCATTTTCACAATCGCATGGTTCAGCAAATTTCTCTTCAGAGACAATACCACTGGTAAATCATAACCTCTGGGTTCTGGGGGGTTGGTGTTTTATGGCAGCCAAATCGATCGCCATTT